CACCCTGCTGGTGATAAAAACATAAACAAGTTTTTCAAAGTTCTCACTGGAAACAAAGCATTTGATTCTTACAATGTTTTTGAGATGATAGTATGCTGATTTACTTACTGCTTTGACATGACTACTGAAACTCTGACTCCAGAATCACACAAAGATTCTTGAAAAGCTTAACTTAAATTGTTGGAAACATTGAATACTTTGGGCACAGCTTGGTCTAATTTTAAAGATTAGATTTGTCCAATTTTGCAGTGAAAACAATAATTTTTTAAATTTCAATAAACTTCATAATACTAATAAAAAAAAAAAAACATTTAAATGGGTTTCTGCCAGTCTTTCCATACGTGGATGCTTTCTGCCTATAAAAAATTAACTGAACTATGATACACTTCAATATAATCTTTTTGCAAATTAATAAAGTACTTTAATGTATTAGTAATATATCACCCAATTATGAAAACTAAAATTTCTAAGCTTTTAAGTGATATATACCTTGTCATGATATTATGGTTTAAAATATGTTAGTGCAGACAAATTGTGGACATGCTGGTCCATATTAATTTTGATTCTTAGAACTTGTCAGTTTTTGTATTATTTATTATCATTTAAAACCTTTATTGCTCAAAAGATTACTTTGCTCACAATGTGTTCTTGCTCTATTATTCTTTTTAAAGGTCAGTCGGTAGGTGGAGCTTTGACTGTTGCTAAATCAGCCATGTCATCCTGGTTCTCCATGCTGGCTCAGCCGACCGCAGCAGTCACTTCTTCTCAGCAGTCTTCAGACTGATATTTACTACTGTATTTAATACTAAAGACAATACTGCTTCTGACATTGCACACATCTCTGTTGTTATATTGTATGAAGATGTATTTTATAGAGAATGAGAAAAACGTTTATAATATTAATTTTAGATTTAGTACTTAATGTAAAAGTTTAATGTTTATATATGCTGGAATAATGTATTTTTTTTGGTTCCTGTGACATGTTTCCATGGTGTGTTAATGGGTTTCTCACCTTTGAAAATGAAATGTATTTTCTGAGATCAGGTAACCAAATTTTTTATTTGTATTTTTCCCCTATACAAACAGGATATATATATATATATGTCAAGTCTTTATTTTGATGGTCCATTTGTTGAATTTAAGTTACATTGCATCTACATGGCAACAAATTCTCATTAGATTATATAAGTAGACTGGCTGGGGTTAGGGTTAGCGTAAGTTGACGTAATTGCAAAGTTTCTCATAGTAAATTAAATCTTAAAGGAGCACTATCAACAGATGTTAAGCAGACAGTCTAATACTCAAATGGACCATCAAAATAAAGTGTTATCAAATATTGTGATCATTAATCAGACTGTGGCTTTTGTAAATAATTTTACTTATTTGGGATTGGATCAGTTCTTGTAACACAAAAATGTAATAACAAATTAAGGTCCCACTTTATATTTGGCACCTTCAGTGTACTTACATGGTTAGAAACAAGAGTGTTATGTCTATGTTGTAATGCAAAATGTTTTTTTTTTAATTCTAGAAAGATCAATTTGTTAAAATTTCTATCAGGTTTAGAGGGACATTTTGCCTTTAACATTGTAATATTTCATAAAACAGCACTGTTTTTCCTCCTGTAATTAAGGTAATTCCTGTACTTGAAGGGACTTTTGATTTGATTATTGTTCTTATGTGGCAAAATCTCTCCATGTTATTAAAAAAATGAAATTACACTTAATAAATCTCTGGTGTGTTCAAGTGTCTTAGTTTGTTTTACAACCATGTAAAATCAGGACGTGGTATCAGTCTGTGTAATTGGTATGCTCATTTTTGTTGTCAAAACAGGAAAACAAAGAAATGGAAGTGCCAAATTTGACCCGTCTCTCAAACATAAAAATGTATTTTTTCAACTATTTATTTTTGTTTTCATCACATTTTGTTTTCACGCACAAAATAAAAATTTGATAAAACCAAAAATAATAAAGGTCTGCGTACCCAGGGATGGGCAGTATTTACGATACATGTATTTCAAATACAAAATAGTAATTTGTAATTGGTATTTGATAAGTGTCTTGTGATTTTTGTAGTTTTATACCACACAATGGTAAACACAATCAACAGATATTGTTGATTATCTGCAGTAAATGGTTAAAACATTAGGTTATCATCTTCGAGACATTCATTCATTTTCTTTTCGGCTTAGTCCCTTTATTAATCCGGGGTTGCCACAGCGGAATGAACCGCCAACTTATCCAGCACTTGTTTTACGCAGCGGGTGCCCTTCCAGCTCCAGCCCATCTCTGGGGAACATCCATACAAACTCACTCACACTCATACACTACGGACATTTGAGGCTACCCAATGCACCTGTACCACGTCTTTAGACTGTGGGGGAAACCAGAGCACCCAGAGGAAACCCACGCGAATGCAGGGAGAACATGCAAACTCCAAAGAAACGCCAACTGACCCAGCCGAGGCTTGAACCAGTGACCTTCTTGCTGTGAGGCAACAGGACATTTTATTAAATTTATACAAAATGTATATTTTAATTAAAGAGAAACACAAGATACATCTTTATAAATACCTCCTGAAATGAGCCTTGTCAGGTATGGTTTTACCTTGGTTTTAGTGGGAAGCTATTGCTTTCACCATAGGAGAGCAATAGGGGTTTGGTGCCTTGCTCAAGGGGAATGGAAAAATGAGAGTGTTGTTCATTCACTCCCCCATCTATAATTCCTGCCGTTACCGCAAATTGAACCAGCAACTTTTGGGTTACAAATCTCATTAACCATTTAGGCCACAATGTTAAATGGTAAAGGAACTGATCAAATATAGGAGGTTTGCAAATAAATTTCATGCTTCTTTTCAAAAGTATTTTTAAAGTATTTTCAAAATACAAAAATGTTGCAGCTGCGGTTTTTGTAGTTAATTTTGAAGCACTTAAAATTTAAGTATATGGTATTTTATTTATTTTATTGTTGCCTGTCCCTGCGTATACTTACGAATAATTATTTGACAAATGCCAAATTTAACCCTTCTCACAATTATTTTGTTTATTTAATTTTTCAAATATTTACACACAAAATGGAAATGTGATAAACTGCTTGATCAGGAATTACACACCAACTCTCTTCTGATTAATGACGGTCAATGAAACATCAAAATCTGCCATCAGCTGTTTTTGTCAGTTTTGTGCAGCAGAATAACATCTACATACATTTTGCAACTGATGCTCACCTTAAAATAATGTTATTTAATACTTCAGCATCTTAATGCTGGGACAGATCAGAAAAGTAGACCAGCTCTAGTCCATGGCAAAATATCACATTGTACAGCGTGGAGCGAATGCAACTTCAGTGTAATATATGCAGCAGCCATAACTTTAAAATAGAGATTAACATTATTATATATTAGTGATAGTAAGTATGATCATTTATGAACATTTGGATTCTGTCCAGTAGGAACACTTATCTAATCATTGATTCAAATTAATTGGTTAAGCGACTCATCTAGTAATACAAATGTGTGCTGCTACCTACTGGCAACATCACTTTCACTATCCTTGCACACCATCATTTGATTTGCCATCTTAATTTGATGAAAAAGATATCAAAAGTAGATTAAACAGCTGATGACAACATGATTTAAAGTTTGATTGACAAATCAGCAGAGAGGGACATGTAATTCCCACCCACACAGAATTTTTTTTTTTTCCAAGCCAGATCAGCTTGGCCAACTTAAGTTGTATATGACTCCTGATTTTCCTTGTTTTGATCAAACAGTGAGAGATAATCACTATTATCACTATAGTCCAAATGTTATCAAGAGTTGCCACAGTGGAAGAACCACCAATTACTCCAGCCACAACTCAGAATTGACAGTACACAAACTTGTGAACCCCCAGTGTTGGAAAACACGCACACACGCTCATTCAAACAAATATGACCAATTTAGTTAATTTAATTCACCTATGGTGGTTCGAGTCTTGGCTGGGTCAGTTGGCGTTTCTGTGTGGATATTGCATGTTCTCATGTTCCCGTGGGTATCCTCCGGGTGTTCCAATTTCCCCCACAACTCCAAAAACATGTGGTACAGGTAAATTGGGTAGGCTAAATTGTCCGTAGTGTATGCGTGTGAATGAGTGTGTATGGATGTTTCCCAGTGATGGAATGCAGCTGGAAGGGCCTCCGCTGCATGAAACATATGCTGGATAAGTTGGCGGTTCATTCCGCTGTGGCAACCCCAAATTAATAAAGAGGACTAAGCCAAAAAAAAAGAAAAATGAATGAATGATTCACCTATACCACATCTTTTGAATGTGATTGAAACCGGACCACCCAGAGGAATCCCATGCAAACACAAGGAGAACATGTAAACTTCACACAGAAAGCCTCTTGGTCCAGCCAGGACTCGAACCAGAGACCTTCTTGCTGTGAGGCAACAATGCTCACTATTTTCAAAAAAATAATACTTGTATTATTATTGAGGGAAAAAAATCACCTTATTCATAGTCGCCATGGGCAAAAACAAAAGTTCCTTTTGGTAATACAAATCTTATTTGTGGAATTCTGTACACACGGAAAGAATAAGGGTGAGCATTTGGGCTTAATTATGCAACACCCAGCTTATCATTCAAAATCATAATAAAACTGTGGTTTAATAGTGGTGATGATATTGTATAGTAAAAACTCAACTGAGTAGAAGGCCAAGTAAGGCAGTGCCTTGACATGTCGAAGCAAATCTATTTGTAACTGTGAAACTTAACCTTTTGATAGGTCAAAATATGTCAGATTGAGTGGACCACAGAGAACATGAAGTATGGAGATACAGATCCAAAATGATAACAAGCAAGTGACCAAAGCAGCAGCAAAACAAAACATCAAATACATAACTCCTTTGACATTCCTGTACCCTGCTGACATTTATTTAAATTAAAATCGGAATTCATATCTAGAAAATCAACCAGACAAAAGAACACTGAAGCATTTAAGGAGTCTGAGTGTACCATACCATTTTCAACCAAAAAAGATTTATTACATCATCATCATTATCATAATCACCATTAAATTGTTAAAATAGAATGCCAAAACAGTAATGGTATCAGAAATGAAATATTCATGTTCTCAAACTCGATAATAGAGATGAAAATCATAGTTTGAATCAAATATTTCAGTTTCCGAATAAACATTTTATTTCCATGAGCACGCTAGGCATTTCAGGGAAGACCGTCCTCCAGCTCATTTACCTTTCCTATAAACAGAAGAGCATTAATCCAGAAGAGTGGAAATTACAGGTTAGTTTCAAAGATGATACCATTAACTATACATGAGCCAGTGACACCATGTCCTCATCCACCTCAAACTCCTCAGCTCCATCAGGGGAGAAGAGGTAAGTGGGAGGCTTCCAGGGTGACTCGTCAAGGCAGGATGGGTATAATTTTCCTATGGCACAGCGGAAATCTTTGCCGAGGTCCCAAAGAACACGCTCCGACACGGGCTGCCGCAAGGACCAGCAATCGAGTTCAAGGTCATACTGATACAGAGCATACTTTGCTCGCTCATTTAAGTGTGTCTCCCGTATAAAAATGCATAACGTATTCTGTAGCACCACAGCACGCACACAGGGGTCAGAGTAGCGCTTGGCTGGGATGTTGGCAGCTAGGCGCCATTCATTTTTGTTGACATCATATATTTCTACTGTAATGGAGGAGCCATCAATAGTGCTAGTTGGCAAACGCAAACCCGAGTTGCCCACAACATGTAGACCACCGATATAGAAGATGAGGTCTCCTAACGCAGCTGCAGAAGCAAAGCATCGACTTGTCTGTCGCATGGCCATTTCTACCCAAGTGTCAGCTCGAGGGAAATAGCAGTACATGAGGTCATGTGTCATGATGTAGATGCAGTCCCGGGCAGTCACTGCCGTGCTCCAACTCCATGCACAGGGAAGAGGGCTAGTCAAGCTCCACTCATCCCGCTCACAATCATATCGCTCAACTGTGCGTTTATTCAACTCACCTCCCACATTATCACCACCAATAGCGTATATGAAACCCTGGCAAAACACCAGTGATGGCTTAGTGCGAGCATGAAGCATGGGCGTTTTGGCCACCCAAGCATTTTGCTGGGCATCGAACCAGTAGAAGCTGTCCACCGAGCAGTAAGCAGCCTGCAGCTTGCCACTTTTGCTGCCATGGGTAGCTAGAGTGCTCTTCAGTGGTATCTGTCCACCAGCAATAAAAACATCATTGTCAGGGGTGACCAACGTGCCAACTTTCTGCAAGTCTCCAGGTAGGCTACACAGTTTATAGACCTTCTCTGCTTGGGGACTATAACAGACAACCGTGTGACGTGGACCTATCACAACTGGATGGCTTTCAGTTGGTGGTTCAGCTTCTACAAATATCAGCATTTCTTCCTTGGTCATGCCCAGTCGGGGCTTAAAAAACTTTGGCATAGACTTGTATAGGCCCTGCACTACCACTGATTTGTCATTCGGTGGAAGACCTTGGAACCAGGCACGTTGGGTCACTTCTGAAAGTGCATCAATTCGAATCTGGCTGAGGACAGAGGAGAGATACTGAGAACGTCCTTCCATGTTGTATTCCAGCCACAGCATGGCTGCCTCACGTACGGTTTCCTCTTTCTCCACATTTAAATTATCACTGCTCAGGAGGTCCAGTAGTAGCTCATGCGAGAGTTGCAGAAAAGCCTCCTGTCGGTAGACAACAGGAAATTTGTGCTCTACCATGCGTTTAGCACTTTGCTTCAACTCAGTGCAACTGAACATATCGCCAATGCTTAGCATGCGCACACAGTTTTCAGCTGTGATTTTCTTGACCAAGTACTCTCGACACTGCAGTAAAACATCCTCCACCTGAGGGAAAGACGATGAAAATTAGAAATAAGCAAACATGTCTTAACTATATATGTATATAATTGTAATTTTATAACCAGCCTACTTTTCAAAAAAATGGATGGGCAAAGAAAGAACAACTTTTAGCATGTTAACCTTTGGAAGTGTATATGCATGTCTTTCTAACCTGAAGAAAACAGGCCGTCTCATAGAGAGGTTCCACAGTGCTGTCGTTGATGACTAAGTTGCCAGTGTAGGCATAAGTTATGATGGTCTGCAGTGTGATGGGGTCAACATTTCTAAGATGAACATGAGTCTGTTTGCTCTCACTGAGCCCACTCATAAACATGGCCCTGTGGGAACACATAAAACACACACATAAAAACAAATACAATAAAAAAGAAATACACTTTCATTTAGTTTTGTATCAACAAACCTTTTTTTAAGTTTAATTTCATAATGAAAACTTTTTTGTAAACTGTATCACTCCTTAGTCATGCAAGACATCAATTTATTTCTTTGGCAAAAGGAAATTAAGGTTTTTAAGATTTAAAGAAAGGATTTTATGAAACAGTCAAAACTAATTGATGCAATTTTATCAACTTTGTCAGACATTTTCCTTTTTGATTTAAGGAAAATGTGTTTAAACAAATAATTGCTTTTTTAATATTAAGTATAGCTGCAATCAGCGATATGTAGGGTTCAAGCATTTGAGGACCTATGACACTTATGCTGCTTAAGTCTAGGTCTAACTAAATTAGATTTTAGATGTTTATACCATGTCAAAATTCAGAATGATCCGAACTGCAATGGACCCTTCGCTAAGCACAGCCCTCCTTAGTTACTGTTGCTACGCCTGTCAAGCTTTTGTACCTGGCACGGCTTTTACAATGTGTGTACACCGGTGTCAGATATTGCCAGGGTTATATTGTAATTTTTTCCGAACAGGTGAGATATCCAAGAAAGCCAGACAAAAAAGGACTGCACTATGCATCACGGGGTATATTCACGATATAATAGGCAACCGATTAGAGAATAAATCAATCAAAATTTAAGCTAGCTCAGCCTTGCCGCCTCACACGCTGGCCATTTAACAGCTTAGCTCATGCTCAGCAGGAAAGGTGAAATTTAAAAATAATCTAATAATAACAAATGAAACCATGATTTCTCTATTTTTAGCCAAAAAGCCAGATAGATTAATTGTTGTGCAATGAAATATAGCGTTACTAACCGACAAGGAAACATGCATGACAGTGCTTTTACATAGTTCATTCATAAAAAGAACAGCCAGAAAGGGAAACTGATGAATTTGTGCCGAATATTAACATCATTGACCCATAACCATGTACAGTAAGTTATATAACTGGCAGTATGTTTGTGTACTATTTATAAATAACTGAAAAACAGCTGCTGGTAAAGTATTGATCGCAAGTGCTCAGTTTGTGATCATATCTCTGCTTTGTTTTGTTGATTTGTAATTTCAAATATTTATGGCTTGAAATACATAAAAATATGAAGTTCAGTAAAGTTAGCAACAGATTTGCAGATTCATATTTTCCGGAACATTAATGTCTTTATGACCCATTCGCTAGTATGACTAAGTTACTAACGTTATGTCGAAGGCTTAAACGGAGCATTACTCACAATAGAGCGAAAAAAAGGAATAAGACAGCTGTGAAACATAACCAGCTTTGTGTTTTTGTAGAAAACACAGTTTAGATCTGTTTAGGGTAAGAGGTGTGTGAGTTATTGCCGTCTGTCTATTACTGAATGTAATAGACTGTTTCTCTATTACTGAATGTGTCAGGAATATCAAAACAAAACCAACTTAGCTCCACTCCTTTAGCTTCCCTCACACAGCTTGATCCACGCTGGCATTTCTCCTCTTAGGTTTTAGGTTTTAAAAGGGAGAAAATACCACCGCCCCGTCCAAACTTTAAGGATAGCAGGTATCAGATTTGCACAATCCATATGCACTCGCTCGAAAGCTTGACAGAACCCCTGCGCGTAGCTAGTAGATACAGTTGCTAAGCCATGATTGATGGGTGGTGGTTTTTGGGCGGGGCTTAGTGAAGGGTCAATTTCAGTGACTTTAAACTTTAAGAAAGAAAATCCCTAAGTGATCTTGTGCTGTCATCCAGTGGCTAATATGGGAGTTGATAATCGAAAGTCTGTTTTAGTGGCAAAAATGGTAGAGTATTGAAAATGTCTTTTAGAGACCTAAAATCCACAATGGACATAATGCCCTCACATAGACACAAAGACTGATGTAATGGGTAAATTATTGCATAAATAATATAAATAATACTCAATAATCATGCCTAGAAACAAGGTTGGGCAGTATTTATGATAAATGTAATTCTAATACAAAATAGTATTTTGCAATAATATTTGATAGGGTACACGAAAATGGTATAATATTTTAAATATTTTCTAGCAAAATACGCAAGTGCCTTGTAGTTTTGAAGTTTCAAAATACTGTAAAATGCTTAGCAAGAAGTACACAGTTTATGATGACATCATAAAAATTAGGCTTTTGGTGCTTTCTCGGTTATTTGCCTAAGCTAAAGATCAGAATAGAAAATTGATTTATTTTTAAGAAGGTGGTCAATGCTTACAATATGGAAGGAAATTAAAAGTAACAGACATATGGTGAGGGTATATTCAAAGCAAGTCAACAATCATTTAAAATAGTATACTGAGCAATGATAAGGCAAAAAAAAATGGCTGTAGTGTATAATTCAGCATCTTTGCTTAAGTAATGAGATGAAATAAAACCTCAGTCCTTAAAAACAGGATGAGGAATCTTCAGATCATCATTAGTCTGAGTGCTGCAGGTGGAAATGCAGTGGAACTAACACCTAAAGATTCTGTACTGGTATTTTAAAAAGGGTAAACAGAGTCATCCAGTTAAAAAAAGGAACTAAAAAAATAATAAGGGAGAGAGGGAGAGAGAGAGAGAGAGAGAGAGAGAGAGAGAGAGAGAGAGAGAGAGAGAGAGAGAGAAAGAGAGAATACTACTAATGGATGGATTGCTGATGTAAATGGCAGAAAATAAGACAAACAATAAAATTAATGTAAATATTAAATTAAGTCCACCACTGACGATACCCACAATACTTCATTGGCTTCAAATGCCAGTAGCTGATCTGCAGGTGCTCTTTATAGTTAATTAAGATGAAAGACATATGCCTAAAGATGGCAAAATGTCACAATGTATGAAACAAAAATATTTAATAATAATGCAGTCTATTCAAGCAGATCAAAAACTCCAGACTCCAGGATATATATAAATACATATTTTTTAAATTGAGAAATATTTTTATGTTGTGAAGTTTTTAGTTTTCAGAAATCATGTTTTCACATTAAGCATATATTAGTTTAATTTAAAAAAATAGACAGTGAAGATTAAAAAAAGCTTAAACGGTCCGATATTGTAACTGCACACAGTTTACCGGAAGCATTTGATGCAGGTTACTGAAAAATTAAAAGTACTTTTGCATACTTCTGTATATAGCCCAATAACATTTAAGAATGTATGTATCTAAAGCATCTGTTAAATAAAAAGTGCTACTCATACATTATATCAGAACTGGGCGAGAATGACATTGACTGTTGTACACCACGCCTATCAAAAAGGTACCATTTGGCAGCAGATTTTGCCAATTTTTGCTAATTAGTTACATTAAAGTAAACATCATGCCATTTTTGCAGACAAACCATTGGCTTTTTTTCAGAGGAAGTCTTAATCATATAGTAGGTGACCTGAAGGTAACCAGAAATCTGAACGAAAACTGTACTACATCTAGCACGTCTTCAGTTGTGTAACAAGCAAAACTTGTCAAAAATAAGTAATTTTTCATGCAGGCAAGGAACGCTGGTGTCACTCTCTCATGCACTTTGTCCAAAAGCAACTACAGTATGTTTAGAGCGTACTCACACTATACAGTTGCCTTGAACCAGGTCGAAGCACACTTGTCCCCCCCTCCTGTCTCCCCCAGCAGTCCACACTCACATAACATTCGAACCTGAGCAGGCTTGCATCATCGATGATGCGCTGTTCAGTTTAAGAAGCGCCCTCGCACAGCACAGTGGACATTTTTTTTTGTTATATTGTTTTAGTCGTTTGGTATGCAGTGACACGCAGTCAAATATTTCGGCGAACAGATCAACCACTTTTGACGCTCATAAATAATCATAAAGTCCTTGTGCCGCAGGAATTAGGTTTGCTAAAGGTGCAGCCATCATGCAGTGAGGGGTTTGCTTCTTTAATAATCTACAATTTGCGTTCATTGAACAGTAAGAATGAGTAATAAATAGGGATGTAACGGTATCAGAATTTCACGGTACGGTAATACCTCGGTATGAATGTCACGGTACGGTATTTATTGAATCATTTACAGGAAAAACAAAACTTTTGAAAATACTCCAAAAAAGTGCCAAAAGTGTCAATGACATACAAATTAGCCATCTATCTGTAAGCTTTGAAACAGGAACTTCAATTTTAATAACAAAAAATTATTAAACCATGTAAAAAAATTAAGTTTCAATTTAGTATTGTTGAAAACTCATCACATTCAACATTTAATCACTCACTCACTTACTTAGATAGAGATGGGTTTAAAGGAAAATAATCATATAACTATAATCTGGTAAAAGCTGGTATCTCTGGGTATTTACAATGTCCCCTGCAACAGAAAAAAACCCTCTCATTTGGGACTGAGGATTCTGGGACAGAGATATGACTTGGCCCATGTTAACAGCAGTGGGGTAACGTTGTGCATTGTCTTTCCCCCACTTGAGAAGACAAACCATGAGTGAGATAGAGATCTCTTTGCGGTACAAGTCAATGTCTGCATCAATCTGAACAGTGTGCTGTGTTTCTGCAGTCCCCATGACTGCTATTAGTCGTATTCCCCAACTTGCAGGCACGTGCACACATAGGGCTCAACCTGTGCAGTGCACATGCCCTTTTTAGTCTTGGATAGAAAATGCCCTTCCAAATCGATCAAAAGTGCCCCCGCGACGCGACACAACCTCCGTACAGCCCTTCAGTAGACAACACCGCTCTTGAATATGCGCGCTCAACCCCCCCTCGGCGCGAGACAACACGCGCGAGACAACACAGCTGATCAGAACGCGCGCGACAACACTGCTATTCAGTAAGCGCGCGGCGACAACACCCGCTTTAGGTTCGATCATTTCCATCTTTTTTTTCATCTCCGCTACTAGCAGCACACTCCATTTCTGCATTACTGGATCTGTAGCGACAACAGACCGCAAAGGATTATGGCCACGCCTGGGCTTATAGGAAATGTAGTTTAAGCTATCTCCCGTTCGCTTCATTCGCCTGAGCAAATTTTCTCAGAAGACCTATAGTTTTACCGAGTCATGCGACTTCGGTAATATCGAAAAAAATTAATATTGCGGTATGACGGTATTTACAATACCGTTACATCCCTAGTAATAAATCTATCTAAACAGTCCTTTAAAAAAAATTCACGTCTCGTGTTCAGTTTTAACCTGATGTGAGCTTGCACTCACACTAAAATCGTACCATGAACATTGAGTTACTTTATTTGCGCGCCAAATTCACTACACAATAGATGCAGATTCACGCCATGAGCAGAGCTTCTGTCTGTCCGGCGACACTAACTTCGTTGGTAAATGGCAAACAGACTTTTTTGAGAGAATAGCAGTGTTAATGTGCTTTATGAAAGCTGAAAAGGTTGTCGATTCGTTTGAAGCTGTGTATTAGTCCACTAGATCCATTCAGAGGTGCACTCACACAGTTCATCAACTCCTCTAGAAACTATACCTGAAGTTCAGATTTTCCAACTCGAGTGATTTGCTCAAAACACGTGTTAAGCGCATCAATCATGCAAAATGCTCAACTCGCGCCGCAGGATGTCTATTCACGTTTTTGCATTGACTTAACACGTAATCACTCGCAATTGACATTTCATCCGCATCTGGTGTGAACGCAGCATAACACAACGACTGTTAACTCTGGTAAAAAGCCCACGACACATAAATGCATACTATATATGATCATGTCTCTCCTTTAGTTGATCTTTAAATCTTTAATCTTTAAACACAAAACATTACAGTGCATGTGGCATTAACTACCATACTTTTATACTTAAAAATGTCATGACAGATAGTACTCAAAGTCAATAAGGTTTTGCTGGACTTATTTGATTTACAGAGACAGAAACATCAAGAACAGTTTTGTATTAAATACTGTTTTGTAATGATCCAAATGATTAAACATTTATACAGGCTTTTTTTTAAAAAAGCTTTTTGATTCAGAATTAACTAATTTATCTTCACAAAAATGCAAATAGTATAATGTATGTTGTACAGTAAACAGGTGTGTGTGTGTGTGTGTGTGTGTGTGTCAGAGAGCACCAGTAACATTTTAAAAGTTTCAATTTGGCACTCTTATCGATATACTATTCACAACCCTTTTAAATATTCAAGTGTTTACAAAGACTAAATCTACCCACCTGAAGTAAGAGCTGCAGGTGGCCAGCACCATCTTATGGCAGGGGAACTCATTCTCCTCCACAAGCAGTGTGATGTCAGTCAACAATTTCTGCTCGTAGAAAAACTTTAGCTGTTCCAGCACAGAAACTGCATAATCTGTGTTGACTGGCCGACGCTCTCCGACCTCCGACATGTTCGTATCCCATGAGTTTTCAACCAGCTTATGAATAGCAAAGTGTTAGTTGTTCTTTTATCAGGTTATTCCGATTTCTTGAATACTTAGAAATTAAGGACATTCCTCTAATATGCTGAACCAAAAATTTTCACAATAGCTCCCAAGTGTTCCACTGTCATGGATGATGTTGGAATTGAGGGAGGAGGAGGTGTAGCATTTAGGTAGGAGGTTTACATGAGAGCACCTGCAGTCCGATGTGTCTCTGGAAAAGAAAATTGGGCACATTAGACAGTTATAAAGTCAAAAAGTTAAATAAACAGAACTAAACCACTATTTATTGTTCCTAAAAATTAAACATTTAAATCAGTACGTAATCATTTACAAAACAAAACCACTTTCTGTTTTTACAAATTAAAGCACCAACTCTATGGGCAACAAAAGGCCAATCAGAACAAAAAATAGTTGGATGGCTCACAAGGCATGCCCCCAGCTTTCGCATGACATATGACTGTCAAATGATAAAGGGTTATCTTGTAAAATGTGCACTCAGTCCCATGGCTGTGTTAACTCACATAGAGGAATTCTACACTGAAGATGTACGTAAAAAATAAGTGCACTTCACTTCTAATCAGTTTCATAAGAATGCGACTCCTGGAGATTATAGCACTACAGTAACATTACAACCTTATAGACGTAAGAATTAATCCCATCGCAGAATGAGCTTCTAATGCATGTAGCTAAATGAAAGTTAGCTCAGGGTTAGCTAAACTGTAGTCCCAGCTAAAATGACAAGGAAATAACTCAAGAAAATGAATGCATGATCATAACTTACCGATGTAATAAATAATAATAAACAACCTAACAGAGGCAATTCTCTAAAGGTCTTCTCGAGAGTCTATACTGTTTCAGCTTAGCAAAAGCAATAACTTGGGTAAATAAAAAAAGATAGAGTTTATCTTTGCGTGAATTTCCGGATAATTCACTGGCATGTTGATGTCACTTCAATGATATCACGTCAGATGCGCCCCTCAGTGCCGCATTGCGCATATGACAGTTGGAAGTAACGTACACCGTATGCACACATTTACATCTTATTTAAAATTAAACTACTCATATAGAGCTCTGTGTCACAGCATAAATAAGAACAGTGTTCTGAATAGTAGATGGGCGCCATGGACAGCTTCAGACTTGCGTCGCCGGTGTGCATACCCTGCTAGAAAACTATGTAATATGTTCAGAATTCTAAAATGCATGGCACTACGTAGAACATAGTGGCAAGGTGCCGAGCGGTGCATCTGGTGTGTGACCCCCTTCAGAATAGTAGTTTTTATCAGCTTTTCCCTCCCCATGCAGTTTAGTCTTTTTATCTCGAGCTCAAAGGTGAATCTTCCTTGTCTCTCAGTTGTTGCCATTTCATTATAGTTTAATTTGACAGACAGGTTGATAATGTAATTGCATCCCATGTCTACTCTAGATGAGTTACTTTTCAAATGTGCATGTGTGCATCATGCATCACAAACTAGGATTGATTCTGATTGGAAATTTTCCAAAAAAAATCCCTTAATCACTTTCACGTCTCATTTTTATTAGTCAACAAAAATTTTAGTATATTTTTATTGTAGTTGTCGTCATCACTGTTATTTAGTTTTTGTCAGAAGAAACTTGTTCGTCACAAAAATTAGGGCAAAAATTGTCAACAAAATTAACACTGATCCAGACTGATACTTTTCAGCAGTATGCTACTACAACCAATCATAATGCAGCACGCCTTAACGGAGCACGAGATCAGTAGACTATTATTGGAAAACTACTAGCCACAATGTAGGGTGACCAAAAAAAGTAAAAAAACAAAACAAAACCAAAAAAAACCCCAAAGAGGCATAAGTTATGTTTAATAGTATATTTTGTTGATTGATCATGTTTGTGAAATTTGATGCATATGTTTCAACAAACACATGTAGACTGCTAAATCATGTAGTATCACTCAGCTCTATTTTTCTGAAGTGAAAGAAATATACTTTAATGCCTATTCTTGCATCTGTGTTCCTTTTACATTATAGCTTAAAAATACAACATAACTACAAAATAGGTTTTTGTTACTCTAATGTTTATAATATAAAGCTTACTCACTCCATGTAGGTAAAATAAACCTCCACCCATTAAGTTAATAAGATTTAACCAGGCAAATACTTTGTTAATTTTTTTTATTTTTTATTTTAAAAAGGGATAGTTTACCTTAAAAGCGAAAACTTACCCTCAAGTAATTCCAAATTGTTGTGTTTATTTCGTTTAACACTAAAGAAATTATTTTGAAGAAGGCTAAAAACCTGAAATCCCCGACTTCCAGAGTAGGAAAAACAAATACAATGAAAGTTATCAGTCACATTTTCCTGCTTTCTTCAAAACATATTTTCGTGTGTACAAAACAAGGGGAAAAAAGTCAAAAAGTTGGATAAATGGTGACAGAATATTCAGTTTTGGATTGACTATCCTTTTAAGAGTGAATACCTTAACATTTCCATATTTTTCATTTTATTATTTTCCTATAACAGGTACTTAAAAGAAGCTGGCAGCTTAGATTTTTTCTCTCTTGTTTGAAACATGCGTCCAATATGCCCACCAAGTTTTGTAACCTCTTCTTAATGTTAACTGGCTGATGGCGGCAATGTTTTTTTTTTTTTTTTAGATACGTCAATGTCCTTATAGACCTTCATTCCACCTTCCAGTCGATCGAACACTTGGTTGGTAAAACTATTGTGATGTAAGGTCTGCAAGTTTTGTGTTGCCACCCACAATGATGTGATCACAGGTCATAACGTAATGCCAATGTGCCAGCTGTCCAAAGACACAACTCGTGAAATCACGCACATCTTAAAGATGACAGAAGACAACCCACTAGATCAGAGGTGTCCAAACTCGGTCCTTGAGGGCCAGTGTCCTGCTTAGTTTAGCCCCAACTTCTTTCAACACACCTGCCAGGAAGTTTCCAGTATACCTAGAAAGAGCTTGATTAGCTGTGTTTAAGGGGGGTTGAAGCTAAAATATGCAGGACACCGGCCCTCCAGGACCGAGTTTGGACACCCCTGCACTAGAACATGTAATTCAAAAGTTACAAAACTTTATAGTCCTTTATAATACTGTAAATCTGAATGAAAAACTGTACTATATCTAGCATGTTTTCAAGCAAGCAAAACTTGTCAAAAATTTGCACATTTTCATGCAGGCAAGGAACCCTGATCTTACTTACTCCGATAACAGGTACTTAAAAGACGTTGGCAGCTTAGAGTTTTTTCCCTCTTGTTTGTTTAAAACAAGTTCCAATAATTTGTGTTTTATGTAATTGTTTATTTAATGTTGTGCAGAGACTACAATTTAGTAAAAAGTTGTAGCTACTTTTAGCTTCTGTCATGCTTTTTAAGTATTGTAGAATGGAAGATTATGATGTTAAACAACAAAACAAAGACTGCTTAGACTGGACTTGCTAAAGGATAACATTATAACTTATAGTAAAAATTGCTTTCATGAGGTGCAAGTTTGAGTGGACTAAATTCGCATTCTGAATTTGTTGACTTTTTTAAAGTTGCCATTTTATCACAGCATAATTTGACGTCACATTAGTCGCCCTAAATAATGCTGAGACGTACATAGGTTGGGGTCACTTAAATAACCTGCCATTGCATCAAAAACCGCAGTAAACAATAACGCCGTATTCGTCGACGTCCACTCGGCACGTGAAGGAATTATGAGATTTCAAATGCAGCATATAAAAGCACAATAAACAGCAGTCTTTTTTAAATTGGCGGGACAGAAGCCTTTTCCGGCGACACCTCATCTGTATCGTGGTGCAACGAGTTCATGTAGTTGCATTTAGATGTAAACAATTTTGTACTCGTAAAAGATAATTGAGTCACGATTTTTTGGCAAAACTAAAATACAGAACGTGTTTAGCTCCACCATCGTGGTGTGGTATTACATTAACGTAAACGTTTCACAACGACATTACAACTATCGCACACAAATATAGCTTCAGCAAACAGTTGATTCGATATGGAGCCGAGAAGAAACGGCGTTACCTAAATTATAGGCACACTTCCCTGTTTAAAAAGCCTGTTAGAGGTCACCTTACCTCCGATGTGCTGCCTGAAACTCTGGCTGCTGCAAGATTCTGCCGAATGCAAACCACACAAAGACGAAGGTTTTTCATAAACAGTAGGCTGCTAGTTCGGTCCTTTCCAAAGTCCGAGATATTTATGTGCCTAAGTTAAACATCAAACACCCTGACGTCCTTATCATGATTCCAATATTAAAATAATTTAAATCACATATTACACATTGATCCCTGTTATAGCAGCATAACGTACAGCTAAATGTATCCGTGTTAGCAAACCTAGCTGTTTCCCTATAAATCAACAATACTTTTCTATAATTTTACCATATACCTATTAATATATTTATATAAAACATAAATGATTCACATAAACCATTTACACATTGTATGTAACGGTAAAATTACATATCGAGGCCTTTAAACGCCGCCTGAGCTACGGAAGCCTAATTTAGGAAGTTGCTTCTATCAAGGAAGCTAACGTTAGCTGCAAGCTAGCAGCAGCGAGAAAATTAAACCAATAGATAAGATCCACAGTCGCAATGGGTGCCAAAAGGGGCAGGGACAGGCGTCTTCCGCTTGGCCCACAGATTTGATGAAAATAGATACTAACAGTAAGAGACAGTTTCAGTTTCATACACCAGCAATCAATATTCGTTTAATCATCAGTTATGTATTATTTACCATATTGGAATATAGCCTAATAAAATTTTAAATTATAGCATGACTAGCATATTAATTGCTTAGCTCATGGAATAAAAAAAGATTCCCTCAATACTTCTAAACTACTTCAAATATTCATTTTAAAAGTGCTGACCAGTTAAAATGTACTTTGCATAAAATAAAGTAATGTAAAGGTCAAATTAGCAGCAACATTTATCATTTTCAAAATTCTGTCCAAACTCTCACAGACCCATATGCATGCCATTTAGATAATTATGGCAAAGCAAAATAACACCTGGGCCCGGTTTTTCAAAAGTAATCCACTAGGATTTTGGATAAGGGATTGGATCAAATCTTGAAAATGGGTTTTTCAAAAGAAAAAACGGATTACATAATCGGATTAGATCACATAATCCAATATTGGTTTTGATCCGGACCAAACCTTTAGTTTGGGTTTTTAAGACCTTTTTTGTAGGATCTGGAGCACTTTGATCCAAAAACCCTGGATTAAACTGATCCCATCAAAAGGGTGGATTTAGCGTGCCCAAAATGTTATGAAAACTTTAAAAATTTATTAAATAATACTATTTTTGGATCATGCAGTATCTTACGAGATATACTATTTCTTCATAAGGTTTTAACTTTATTTGTTCATCCATCAGGCTATAGTGATTATAGGCTTTAACATATTCAGCCTTTCAGTATAGGCCTACAGCAAAGTAGAAAGAGTTTGGCCTCATAAAATAATCCCCCAAACAGCTGTCAAAATTGACCAAAATCTATTTTATTCTGTCACTAATTGATATATATATATATATATATTAGATATATATATATTTTTATTTTGAGAATATTTATTAGTGATGCATGCAATGATTACAGAATAACAAAACAAAAAAAAGCAAAGAATGTCAATCACTGATTTTTGAAATCTTTCAACACTTGCAAAAAGAGACTGAAAGGGCCGAAGCACAGCTTCATCTGGCAGAGGAACAACTGACTCTAACCAAACTGCAGCAAACCAAGGCCAATGACTTGAGATCCGCCTCGTAAAGGCTACGCTCAGACAAGCTGCTCTCTCCACATCAGATGAGGAAGTCTGAAATTTTTGTGGAGTTTTTGACATTTAGTCTTTTTTTTATATACATCCATATTTGAAACTTATTATAAATATCCTCAATGTACAGTGTTGTAGGTCTCAGATGAGCAGACTGCCTAAAGAGGATGGGTTGTTGTTTTTCTTGTTTTTATTATTATTATTATTTTAATAAATATTACATTTTCTTAGTTTTCATTTCAAATAAAAATAAAGTTATATAGCCCACGTTGGCTATTCTACTTGTTGCTCTTTACATATATATAGTTCTACATTGTGATGTCCTATCCTGTTTGAGCACTGGTTATCCAGATTTAGTGATCTTGTAAAGTTCCTATCCGGATCAGATTGATCCAATCTGATGTTGCTTTGAAAAACTGGCTCAAAAAGTAAGCTGGATAATGTGATCACGGATCTCAAAAACAGGATTACAAAATCCGGATCAATTTTATCCAGAATAAACCTTTTGAAAAACCCTGTTTATCAGCATAACAAGAAATAGTCCTATGTAAAGTGATAGAAACCAATTGGACCAACTGTAATTTGATTTTTTTATATTAGGCTCAAGTTTTATGTATTTATGGGTATCCACTGTGTAAAATATATACTGGAATAGTTTGCGGTTCGTTATAATAAATCAGAGACTAAGCCGAAGGAAAATGAAAGTATGTGTACATACACTCACCAGCCACTTTTTTCAACTGCTCATTAAAGCAAATTTCTTATCAGCCAATCACATAGCAGCAATTAAATGCATTTAGGTCAAGATAGTCTGCTGCAGTTCAAACCGAGCAGCATCAGAATGGGAAAGGTGATTTAAAGGGGTGGTACACCACGATATCATATTTTAAACTTTAGGTGATGTGTAATGTAGCTGTGTAAACAAGACGCTCAAAGTTTAATGCAAAGGGAGACCTTGGTTTTTACAGAGTAAGCATAGCAAAGCTTACAATGAATCCATTTTGAATTTCAAATACTTCCGGGCCTGTCAGATCACACACACACAACGGCAATCTCTCTAAAAGGAGCCGCACCCCATTTTCACTCGTTAGACACTTGCCAGACTTTATTTTAGAAAGGGGGCATGAGGTTGACTGACTGTTTACAAAAATAAGCGCATGCTTGTACGGGCGTGACGTGGAGTCGATCCTTGAATCGCAACACATTATGACACATGACCAATCAGAGTCACTTGAGGGCAGGCCTTTCAGAGGAACTAGGAAATGTGACTGTCATTTTTATGTTAGCTGAGTAGCTGTATATGATCAAAGTGAGATTTATGGAAAAATAACGTAATTTCCTTTAAGTGAAACATGAGCACATTGCTTTGCATCTTATAAACACAACCAAGCCTAACTACATTCTGGACCACCCGTTTAAGTGACTTTGAACGTGGCATAGTTGTTGGTGCCAGACAGGCTGGTCTAGGTATTTCAGAAACTGCTCACCTACAGGGATTTTCATGCACAACAAACTATTGGGTTTACAGAAATTGGTCAAAAAAAGAAAAAATATCCAATGAGCAGCTGTTTTGTGGGAGCAAATGCCTTGTTGATGCCAGAGATCAGAGGAGAATGGCCACCATGTCATAAAGCTCGAATCATCTCAGACTGGTTTCTTGAACATGAAAATGAGTTTACTATACTGGCCTCCACAGTCACCTGAAATAAATTTAAGGCAGTTCTGATGGCAAATGGGTCTAACCGGTGTACCTAATAAAGTGACTGATGAGTGTATATTAATTAATTCATTTTCTTTTTGGCCCCTTTATTAATCATGGGTCACCACAGCGAAATGAACCACCAACTTATCCAGCATGTTTTACACAGCAGATGCCTTTGCAGCCACAACCCAACGCTGGGAAACACAAACACACACTTGCATTTACAAACATACACTACGGCCAATTTAGCTCATTCAACTATAGCCCATGTCTTTGGACTGTGGGGTAAACCAGAGCACCTGGAGGAAACCCATACAAAGACATGCAAACTCCACACAGAAATGCCAACTGACCCAGCCTGGGCTTCAACCAGCATCCTTTCTGCTGTGAGGCGGTTGTGCTACACACTGTGCCACCATGATACCTTACTTTCTTTTTGTTATGCAATTTCATAATCACTAAATTGCTCATTAAGCTATCAAACAGGAACTTTTGTCATGGAATCTGATTTCTAAACATAATTTTAGTCCTTGGTTATTTTATTTGAAATAATGGTTTTAGCATTGTTTTGAGATTAATAAATACATCACTTAGCATGTTTTTAAAATATCTGCCAACAATATTGTATTTCTATGCTTTTTAAGAGTCAAAAACTTGCATACTAGCACCTAGCCATCCTGGCTTCGGGCCTAATTATCAGATTATTTAAAAGGCATCTTTTAAAATGGCAAAACTAAAAAGAAAGCACTGCTTCTATGAAATTATGTTATATGGCAACAGTACACTTACCTGTATGACATGTCATCATAGAACCACGTTGATAGAATAAAAAGATAAATGTTGCAAACCAATAGCCAGGACAATTTTGCTGCCTGGTGAGTAGCCTGACATACACATCACTGGTGTTTTGATTCAAAAGGCAGTACAGGTAATACTTTTATATGAATTTATCCTTGAAGATAACTCTCTGTCTTTTTTGTTTTCAGCTGTTGCTGGGAAACTACTCATGTAGCTCTTAAAACACCCATTGCATGAATCCACTAATCTACTATTTGCATTTTGTATGGGTAAAACTGTCACCTGTGGATAAACACTCAATACCTGAAACACTCATATAATTGGTACCATGACACATCAAGGTTTTTTTTTATCTAGACGAAATGGCTGTGAAATAAAAAAAATGAATAAATAAAAAAAATTGTGTAGTTAGAGTGAGGCTTAACTTGTGAAATGTGTATGATAAGAGAATAAATCAAAACAATACTTGCCACTCACATTAATGGCAATACTTAATTGGCAAAAGGGTATATATACACACAGGAGATGTTTTTATTTGTTTGTTTGTTTTAATGAGTATTTAACATTATTAATAAGTTCCATATGTCGTGCCACTATGGCATCTGTAGGCATACACTTTACCTCTTCATTAACTATGCAGTGCATGAAAATCAGCTACTGGCATTTTGGAACATTTAAAATATCGTTGGGACATATTTTAATGTTCCTATTTTCTTGCCATCTACATCAGCATTCCCATTCAAAGCTGATGATATTTGCTTATGCTCCCAAATATTTTTCACTAGTTTTTAACATGCTGAGTCTCAGTTTACCCCCTTAGTGAACACCAGTACACTCTCTAAGTGTTTTTTTTTTCTAAAGGTACTTTTGCCTTTACTTTCAAGCCTCTGCAACCCATTCTTAAGGGTTTAGATTGTAATCCATGTAATTTCTTTATCAAAGATGCTGATTCCAATTTGTACAATAAAGCTATCATCTGTTATTGGTCTTACCATTAGGCAGTATACTACTTTCTGTTGACTTGGTCCTTAATCAACACCTGACAGACATCTTAATTCCTTTTTACAATTGTATGGCACTCATTATATGTGTAAATGTTAGAGTTTTGAGTTCTTCCACAGACCATACCTTGACCACCACCATCGAAATAGATCAAATTATTTTCTGATCTCAAGCCGAAAACTACTGATAAAGAACCAGAGGCCTGATATTAATAAGGTCATCATGTAGACTTATTAAAATATATTTTGCAATATTTTAAAACCACCAAAATACAAAGCACTAAGTATTTAGATGAAAAATACCTTAATAACTTGTATCAGCCCTATCAAATACAACTGACAAAATATTCTATACTTGAAATGCATATTTGAAATGTATGAAAAATACAGCCCATCTCTGCCTAGGCGTCATTACTTATCTGCAGTCAAAATAGCTGATAGCTCAAAGCCATTTTGTTGGCTTTGCTAGAGCATTTTCAGTGCTGAAAGTATCTAAATTGGATAAAAGTATTTTTTGTTATGTTTTATTTGGACAAATTACATTTAGTTTCTTATCCATTTCATTCTTGGTATGAATATAAATAGTTTAATAAAATAAATTTTGTTAAATATGTGAGATTATATACTTTTTAAATATCATATCAGAGAAAAGGTAAGATGTTATATGAAAACACGGCTTGAAGCTAACACATCATTCAGAAATTGTAAGATTGTAAAGATATAAACAGAAAGATGCTAACACAGGATTTAAAAAGCCTTTTCTGTTGTTATGTTTTGTATTAAATTGTAACGGTCATTTTAATCATTATAGGCTACTGTATGTTTTGACCCTCCCCAAGAGATTAAATAAAATAGTTAATTCATTTTAAGACAGGAATTCACGCATCTACATCACATTTAAAAGGAAACAAATAGACTGTCTAACGTTTGAGTGAAGGCAAAGAGCTTAGAATGTGATTCTAATAAGCTCTTTGAGTTATCTTATATTTCATTTTAGCCATTTCAATAAAAGCATTTTTCGGTAGATGGCAGCATTTTCCCACTAATTTACAGCGCATTATGCCCATGAGCGAAATTTAAATAGACCTACCCTTAAAAATTCCTTAAAGTTATTAACTTTGCATTAATTTACATTAAAACCTTTTGAATAAAGTATAAAAAAAAACTAGTGATTAAATTTAGTTTTAATTGATTTACTCTTTTTAAACCCATATTTGACAAATAGGCCTACATGTATCAAAACAGCTACTAGCTGTAGTAAATAGTGTACGCACGTTTACAACTCTTGGTTAATTTACTATACTGAATCTATGTTATCATAAACGGATAAACTACTTATGTAGTAGTAGGCTACTCTTAGGTTTTACTTGCGTCACGTTTAATTAAAAACACACTTCCGCAAAGGATACATCCCTGCTCATCACTACTGAAAAAGCCTCTCTCTAGACAGCAGAGGTTGATGTCTTGTAGAGTTGATGACCCGCTTTTTGGGTCGCAGTCGGAGGAGCTAGGTAATGAGGAAGCATAGCCCATTGAGAGCGGGACTGTCTGATCAGGTGCTGCCTTTACGTTGATTAACACTAATTGCATGCCATTCAATTAACTGATCTAGTTGGACATGGTTTTTCCTATCGCTCACAACACACTCCTGATTTACACTTTAGGAAAGCTGTGAATTAGTTTTTGTTTGAGGTCTTGTTGGTTTGTGAATTTTGTTGAGAAATTCAAGGTAAGCACAAACCTTTAAAACACTTTACTCTAAAATAAAATCTTTAATAAATAATAAATTTGCTTACAATAAGCATTAGATCAGGTGAAGACAATTTGTAAAGTGTGAAAATACTTAGTATAGTAATAATGATCAAGTAAAATATCGCTCCTAAACAAAACTAAAATACGCTTAAGGTGTTTTTTTTTATTCTTCTTCATTGCTTTGCAACAATTCTGTCTAAATGACTAAAACCCTCACTTGTTATGTTCTGCTTTAGGGATGGCTGCTATATCTACTCATGAACCCATTGGTGGTTTGTCAGGCGTTCTTAGTGAACCACTGCATGCACAGGCCCCTCTATGCGCTGGTCCTCTGCCCTCCAGAATACTACACCCAGATGAGCAGCTTCAGCTAAACCAGCAATTTTATGTTCCCACTGTTCAGCCTTTCATGCCCTATCAGTTTCCTACATCATCTCTATGTGTGCCATACAGTGGATTTCATGGCTTAGGTATTTTGCTTGGCTTGTGCTTTTTTTTTTTTTTTCATCTTTTTTCATTTTACTAAATGCTGTTTGGACTGTTGCTAGAGATTGACATAATTTTTATTTTATTTATGCTTGTTTGTTTACCTAATGAACTGCAATTGTTCTACAATATTTCCACAAGTACATGTATAACATGATGTGCTATATTTAGTGATAAATTCTATTGTTGGCCTTTGTGTCAATGGTTTACCTCATTTATGCAGGAGGAGTAACCCAAATTTAAATTATTTAAAATGCAAATTAACCAGAAGATGAGACCATCTTATTTTTTGGAATTTGACTTGGTACCTAGAGAAACAGAATATTGAATCAGAAAACCATGGCATGGCTTGCTTTTTCAACTGTGAACTGAATGGATCCAGTAAAGTAGGCATTTCGTTTAGGAAGATTGGAAAAGTTATTACAACCTAACAGACACCTCTTCTACATTTTTGTTTGTTGTCAAAACTGACAGTTGGAGGGTCGTGGTTAAGCCCAAAGACATGTAACCTGACATTTGCAAAAAGTGCATTTATAGTTATCAATTAAAGCTTAAAGGGCAAACTTTTTTTTCTTCTTTTAAATGATCTGTACAGATGAATTGTTATCTACAAAACTAGCAATGTAAACTAACAAATAAAATAAAACTAACCATATAATTGTAAGCATTAAGTTTGTAGCATTCAGTGTAATAATGATTTGGAAGAAATCTGTGGTTGTCTTGCAAATTTACATATTGTAAAACATCTGCCTTGCATTTTTTTGTTTTAAAGAGAGCCTTTCTAATTATGAGCGTTTTTATTTATTCCCCCACCCCCTTATGACTGCACTTATTTGAGGACAAATGTCTTTTGTAATCTTTTTATAGAGATACTCTGCAGAGATGAGCTCAAACCTGAATCGCATAAACCTGCTTGTAGTGCCCTTTTATTACTAAGGCTGGAGCTAAACTATAGAGGGCCATGCAACAAAAATTACCTACTTTCATAGGATCCAGTTATTCCATGAGCTAATGGTTGCATAAAACAAATCTATGGTCAACTGTATTTATTAAATCCCACATGTGACAACTAATCTCTCTTTTTTTTTTTTCTTTTTTTTTCCGAAGGGTATAGTGTGATGCCACTACAACTTCCATCATGTGTTGAAGTCCCTGGATTCATAACACCTCAACTGCAAATGTTGGACTACAGACGTATAACCCCTCATGTGGCTCCAGCTACTGCCCACCGGACCCGCCACTCCAATTTCCAAAACCCTGTGCCACTTGGTCCTGTGATGGTCAACTCAGAGGTGCAAACTGAACCTATTTGTCATAGCATAGGCTCACATGGACCTGCAGCGAGATCAGACACCTGTTCAGAATCAGGTCGTGGTACTGGCTGTGATAGTCCAGTGTCAACAACACCCAGGTCCACTGAGAACAAATCCATAGCTTGCCCTGAAGGTGTGTCTGTGCTCACTCAAAATTGCAACACCAGTGCTACTGAGACCACTGATTTGTCTACTGTACCCAAAAGTGAAATCATCCAAGCTGAACAGGTGCAGAGCAAATGTGGTGTATTGCTGTCTAAGCATGAGATTATTCAGAACAAGAACAATAAGATGGCAAGTTATAACAAAAATGACATTATGCAGTGCAGTTTGGGATCTGTGCAATCTTCAGAGGATGTTGTGGTGTGTTCTTACCGGTCATTAGCATTCAGGGAGGATAAACAGAGGGTTGAAGCTGGGATGTTAAGTTATTCCAGAAAGCATCATCTAACATCTTGCACAGAACTTAATGTTTTGAGAACTCCGTCTTGTACCTTAAAAAAAATTTCTAAACCAAGCAAATCGGTCATTGCACAATGTGTTAAAGTAAAAAACAACTCCGAGACACAATTTCAGACAAAGGACAAGGATGATGGAAATTCTCCTAATAATAATTTTAAGATTCTCCGACTGCCATTTGATGTGCAGAACCATAAACTGCCTTGTCAGCTTGATGCTTCTATCTGGTCGGTAGAGTCTCTGTTACCATATGTGCCATCCAGTGAGTGGCTGGCAGAAAATGGTCTTCTAACCCCTCAGAAAACCTTAAGCTCACTGACTAAACCCAGTAATGTTATATCAAAGCCATACTGTGTTTCTGTGGGGAAAAATTTACAAAGTGGTCCATCAGCAAAATATTGTGTTTCTCCACATCAGTTAGAGGCTTCGATCTGGTCCATAGATTCTTTGATGCCATATGTGCCTTCAAATGAGTGGATGGTTGAGAATGGGTTTTCAACGCCTCAAAAAGGTGTGAGCCCACAGATTAAATCCAGTGATGGTCATTCTTCCACTGATGGCATTCCTTTAAGGAAAAATCTGCAAGCATGTGGATCAACTAAATATCATGGTGTTTCCCATCAGTTAGAGGCTTCGATCTGGTCTGTAGATTCTTTGATCCCATATGTGCCTCCCAATGAGTTGATGGTTGATAATGGGTTTTCAACACCTCAAAAATCCGTTAGTCCACAGATTAAATCCAGTGATGGTGATTTTTCCACTGATGGCATTCCTTTAAGGAAAAATCTGCAAACATGTGGATCAACTAAATATCACCGTGTTTCCCATCAGTTAGAAGCTTCAATCTGGTCTGTAGATTCTTTGATGCCTTATGTGCCTTCCAATGAGTTGATGGTTGATAATGGGTTTTCAACGCCTCAAAAAGGCATTAGCCCACAGATAAAATCCAGTGATGGTTATTCTTCCACTGATGGCATTCCTTTAAAGAAAAATCTGCAAACATGTGGATCAGCAAAATATCATGGTGTTTCCCATCAGTTAGAGGCTTCTATCTGGTCAGTAGAATCTTTGAAGCCGTATGTACCTTCTAATGGATATATGGTTGATAATGGGTATTTAACTTCTCATCAAGCTCTGAGCCCACCGTTTAAATCCAGTAATGTTGTGTCAGAGCCGAATCAGACTTCCAGTGATCATTTTCAAGTAGGGGAGAGGCTACAAACTTGTGCATCTGCTAAACTTAAGGGGTCCATTAAGTCACTCGAAAAACGCTCCCCTTACCGTCCCTCATCGAGCTGGCTGGCTGATTTTGGTAATGTATACTACTACAGTAAGTTACCCCCTGTTCAGCAACAGTCTGAGATTCTGGAGAGATGGCAGCCAAAAGTGTCCCTTACCACTCATCTTGAACCATCTTTCATTAATTTAAAAAAGACCAGAAACCAAACTCCAGCAACTGGTATCTCAGACCAGAAGCACTGCGTATCTAATAAATGCAAGTGCAAAGTCAAAAGAAGTCCAAGGCTTTCTTGTGTCACACTTGAAAGTAAATTACCTTTGTGCCAATCATGTCGATATGACACCAAAGGAAAAGATTCAAAAAAGCATTCAGATTGTCCTGGCTGCAAAAAAGAAGACTATGTTGAAGTTAAGACTTTTGACAAGATCTCCAACGAGGGTGTCCTTGATGCCAAAAACATGGCATTGGGAAATCTTTTGCCAGAATGCTGTGGTGCCGCTCGGGTGGAATTAAGACAACAGACTGCACTGACCAGCCCTGCTCAAGATAAATGTGGAGACCTTGAATGGAGACTTTGGGAAAAGAAGAAAGATTTTATGAACCAGAATAAGAGTCAGATATGGAGTCTACAGAAAGGTATGGTTGCCAAGATACTTGCCAAATTGGTCACAATTTGTTTTGATTTGTTAAATTTAATTTTATTGCATCTACATGCCAAATATTCTTATTATATTTTAAGTAGACTGTCAGAGTTGTGGTTTGTGTAAGTTGAAATGTACTTGCAAAGTTTCTTATAGTCAGTTAAGTGTCTGTTAAATAAGCAGTATCAACAGATATTAAGCAGACAGTCGTCTAAAACTCAAATTTACCATCAAAATAAAGTGTTCTCGGCAAATTCTTTACATTTGTGTGTATGTGTGCCTGCATGATCAAACGTCCCATATGTCATCTTTTGGCAGAAAATGCAGCAAAAGAATCAATGCAGGCGTCTATTTCTGTAAGAAGGATTGAGAACAAAGAAAGCATGCTCACAAGGTGAGGTTAATTTGTCCTAAATTTGGTGAAACTTGATTGTTCCTTTTTTTTTAAATAGTGTTTTCATCTAATGTTCTTGAGTAAATCATGTTTACTTTATTTTATGAATGCAAATTTAAAGTCCAATTTGTTTAACCTTTTTTTTTTTTTCTTCTTCAGAAATCGCACTAGAGGGGAACATGTCACTGGCCGTGAATAGGCAATGTGAGCACACCCTGGATGGTGTTAAGCGACATTAAAATCACAAATCCACCCTTTTATCATTTGAATACTACAGTGCACTTGTATATTTATGCTCTAAATTAATAAAGTGTTTACCACCAACATGCTGCATATAGCCTATGTAAAAATAAATAAATGTAGAACACATCAAATGTTAAACAAACATTTTTCACTTAAGTGCATCTAGGTAACATCATTTTGTGTTTTCAAATTATCCAAACTTTCATATTATAAAGGGTTGTGCAACAGAAGGTAGGATACCCACACTATATGACATTGGGTACTAAGCAGTTTTAATCAAAATTATTTGTGTGTGTCAGAAGAAGAAGAGCTGGAGTCAGATATTCAATCAAAGAAATTTTACTGAAGATAGTTTGAGTGCCGAAGGTGGCTTTTGCTGATGAAACTGCAGAGTTTATAGGCTGCTCTGCTTACAATCTTGAAGGGGACGAAGACCGGATTCAAACTTCAGACAGCCAGTAGACTATTAAGAGCTCACCCCAGACCAGTAGTAATGATCCACAAAATAATAATAGAGAACACACACAAAATACAATACGACCGTTTTTTTTCCCTTCATATTGTGATGCAGTTTCTAGATAAACTTAAATATAAGAAAATAGAAAATAGTGGGTGTGGCTTGTTTTTCTACTGTGGAGTGAATGGATGTAGTAAAGTAGGCAATTCTTCAAAAAGTTGTCCTAGCTTGTTGTTCTTCACTTGTTATCTTTTTATCTAAATACAGATTCATTTTTTGTTTAAAGAAAGACATTGCTGCACCAGTTCATCGTCTGTAAACGTGATGCCATTTTGACTCTTTATTGTTTACCAGTGCTACTGGATGACATTATATGTTGGTATGACCTTTTTACTAGATGATCAACACATGTTCAGCATCCGGTACATCCATGCAGTGTACAAGGTGATGGTTTAAACAATTTTTATTTATTTATTTATTTATTTATTTTTTTTTTTGCAGGACAAGCATATACACCCTAGAAATGCATATTTTACTTAATGGTATGGAAACCCCTGATTTAGAGTATACCTATATATATTATTATTTATATATATATATATATAAGTTTCCGGGAAATGCGGAGTGTTTTTTTCTCTTATTCGCCGTGCGGTATCAAACATTGCATGAAAAATACACGCTTACAGCAGTTCCTCGAATCAAATTTCTCGTTTGTCGCGAGGGGCATGAATGAATTCCCTGAATGAAAGAGCCAAGCTGCAGTTAAAGTCCACCGTTTAATAATTTGGCAAATAATTCGACTACAGATATCCATGTAGGTTAAACACCAACACTTTCTCCTGTGTGTGTGTGTGTGTGTGTGTGTGTGTGTGTTTTGACTCTGAAACTCACGCATGCCCAAATAGACACTCCCACACCATCCCACTTTAGTTTCTCTGACACTCCCCCCTAAATAGAGCTGGACACGCCCACTTTTCTGACTTTTTCCAAAGTAGAGGTGTGAAAACACCTTGCTGAAACGAGTGGGTTTCGTGGCCCTTTAAAACTGTCAATGTGAGCTGGCAAAATCATATGGGGATTTTAAAGGCGTTGTCCACTACGATATCATATTTCAAACTTTAGTTAATGTGTAATGTAGCTGTGTGAACATAAACAACATCTCTGAATGTAAAAAGCTCAAATTTCAATGCAAAGGGTGTACAAAAAATACTTCCTGCCCTTGTGAATTCACAAAGGTTCGTGTACCGCGCACACACACTGCACAGCTGAGGGCCGTGGCCAGAGGCGCTGTAACGTTATAGCAGAGATAAAGCTAAAATGCGTCCAAATGCTGCTGTTTCCACAGAGCTTTGTCTGTTTCTGTATTTAAGCTTCCAAAGGACACGACACAAAGACAGAAGTGCTTACAGTTCAATATTAATTATGTTCCAGAGAATTATAAAATACATAGCAAGCATGATTTGACAAAACAGCTCCAGAATCTCTCCCAGTTCAATGCTGGATTCGGATCTCTTCAAAGCAGAAGCTGTGAGCTACAACTTGTAAGTGTTTTTATTTGTTAAAATTGATCATGACATGCACAGTGTCTAGCGTTAACTGTGTGCTGTAGCAACGATGTAAACAATGGGTATTGCAGTTTTGCATCGCAAACGATTTAGCTGCAAATTCATATTTATCAGTCAAACTGCCATAAACACCCACACATACACACTTCACCAGCGCGTTCGTGTCTCTCTATGTGTGTGCATGACTTTGCATTGTTTCTCGTTAGGCAGCTTTTCCATGAGTTTTACATCTCAGATAATGAAGTCGCAAAAGATATGTGGATGATTCATATTACTTACACCTGCATATTCCGGATATATGTGAAAGACATCATGTAGCGCGTTCAGTTTAAAAAAATACAGGATAGCTCACCTAACTCGTGTAGCAGCAGAAAAATAAATCAAGGCTCACACAGGTCAAATCCCAAATCATGTGCTTTATTCTTCTGTCACTATATATTACAGAAAATAACTTAATCCGAGCATCAGAGAAAAAGAAAGTCCCGCCCACATGCGCTTGTTACAGAAAGTTCACACATTCACACACACACATAGACACATGCAATAGCGATGTCTCTTAAAAGAGCCGCACCCCATTTTCACTCATTACAGACACTTGCCAGATTTTTTTTAGAGCAGGCAAGAGGTCGACTGAATGTTTACACAGCAGAAAAGTGAATGCTTGTACGGGCGTGATGTGGAGCCGATACGCTAATCGGAGCACATTATGACGATGACCAATCAGTCACTTGAGGGCGGGCCTTTCAGAGGAACTAGGAAATATATCAGTCGTTTTCATGTTAGCGGAGTAGCTGTGTATAATCAAAGTTAGATATAGGAAAAAATAACATGATTTCCTTCAAGTGAAACATGAGCACACATTGCTTTGCATCTTATAAACACAACCAAGCCTTAAAATTACGTTCTGGACCACCCCTTAAATATTGTTGTCAAACAAATTATTTAAAAATTGTGGTTTGCATTTGCATATATATATTTTCTATTATTTCAAATGAAATAGTGCTGTGGGGAGAAAATATGCTTATATATTAATAACCAAGACATGTGTGCTTGTTTGGACAGGTGTGCTTGTTTTTCTTTTTAATTATGTTTTATTAAGTAAACCTTACAGTTTAATTTCATTGTTGTAAAGTTTAAAAAATAAGGCCACAGTCTTTCTAACATAATGCCTTTTTTTTTTGACTCTCCCTTTAAGAGAGAGGTCTCTTTTTGAAGCCAAAAGTTAATTTTCTTAGTTTTAATAATTATAGGGTTAAAATTAAGAGGGCATCTTATCAATTGGTCTGTTACAATATTTTACATTACATTTTGCCAGCTCTCATTGACAGTTTTAAAGGGCCACGAAACCCACTCGTTTCAGCAAGGTGTTTTCACACCTCTACTTTGGAAAAAGTCAGAAAAGTGGGCGTGTCCAGCTCTATTTAGGGGGGAGTGTCGGAGAAACTAAAGTGGGATGGTGTGGGAGTGTCTATTTGGGCACGCGTGAGTTTCAGAGTCAAAATACACACACACACACACACACACACACACACACACACACACACACACACACACACAGGAGAAATTGATGGTGTTTAACCTACATGGACATCTGTAGTCGAATTATTTGCCAAATTATTAAATGGTGGACTTTAACTGCAGTTTGGCTCTTTCATTCAGGGAATTCATTCATGCCCCTCGCGACAAACGAGAAATTTGATTCGAGGAACTGCTGTAAGCGTGTATTTTTCATGCAATGTTTGATACCGCACGGCGAATAAGAGAAAAAAAGCAGACGCTTTTATCCAAAGCGACTTACAAATGAGGACAAGGAAGCAATTTACACAACTAAGAGCAACAATGAATAAGTGCTATAGGCAAGTTTCAGGTCTGTAAGTCTAAGAAGGGAAGTATTAGTAGTATTAGAATTTTTATTTTTTGGGTACAGTTAGTGGTGTGTGTGTGTGTTTGTGCACAGGTGCTGGTGATTAGAGATTAGAAAATAGTGAATGGGTATGTGTGAATCTCGTGAATCCATCAACTGCCTTTAAATAGGGCTGCATGATTCTGGCTAAAATGTGAATCACGTTTTTTTTTTAATCACAATTCTTTAGATGTAAAATAAAAGTTAATATGAGTAGGCTATTATTATTGTTAATTCTCAAACATATCATCACCTTGAAATTATAAGGTTTTCTCTGCATTCTGAATGATTTTGAGATATTAAGCTTCAAAGTTTTTGCAATCCATATAGCAAACAGTATGTGAGCAAATTATTTTTAAGTCTTAAAATGTAAACAATAGGTTGTCATTTAATAAGAATATGTCAATAACTAAAATTTGACAAAAATGTCAGATAGAACCTTATACGTAATTCTAAAGTGATGATATGGTAAAACAACTCTAATAATATTAGGCCTATGTGTAGCTCTACTGTTGCTTAAAATGCTAAATTTTGTAGTCATTCATGCACAACACTGTGTTAGCTATCAAAAAAAAAAAAAAAAAAAAACATATCAATTGCTTGTCGTAATCATAACTGTAAAATGCGTTATGATAATTTAAATGATGTGCGCACAGGTTTCACTTTTACTTCCCAGTGCCACTCATGGCTGCAGTCATTGTGATAAAACACACATGCAAATCATTCTTTCAGCGCGGCTCTCAAACGATCGCTCTGTGCAACATACTGAACAATATTTACAACTTTTTAACTTGTTATACACAGCATATGCAGGTTCTGTTCACTAAAGTAGCCGTCATTGGCATTCTACGTGCATGTGCGCGCGTTCTCGGTAGCTCATGGTCAGCTCACGTGTGATTTTGGGGGCGCAAACAAATCATTACATGAGACAGAAATGACATTTCTGGTTGAATTATACCTTATAAATACAGTATGTGACACTTTTAACGCCATTTGAGGGTGTTCATGTTCCTGTGAGGACCTGTGAGGAAATTACCCCTTCAACCAGGGGTGTCTCCTGATACCCTTAACTGGCGCTGAGATCTTCTGCGACCTCTAGGGGCTGGCCGGTCAGGGAGATGTAAGCGAGAAAATACGGTCATTTTTTAGAATAAAAGATTTTTCAAAATAAAAGATTGGTCAGACTAAAATAATAAATAAAATGGAAATAATTAATTATATCTTGTGCGGCCTGGTAACAATTAATCCACAGACTGGTACCAGTCCACGGCCCGGTGATTAAGGATCTCTATTCTAGTAGATTACACCTGTGTCATGAATCCTAGAGTGTCGCTCACCCGGATTCAGTGGTCTACAGCTGGAACCTCCGATAGTTCCTCTGTACATGGAAACAGAGGTTGTTGGTAACTGAGCATGCACTGGAATGGTGTTAATCCTGTGGACTCTTGACAGAGGGAGTTTTGTGCATATTCAGCCCAGGGTAGGAATTTGCTTCGGCTGTATTGATCGTCCTGGCAGTATGACTGGAGGTAGTGTCCAAGTTCCTGGATGTTTTGCTCAGTCTGGCCATTCGTCTGGGAGTGATAACAAGAGGAGAGACAGACTGTAACACCCAGTAATTTGAAAAAGGTTTTCAAGACATGAAAAAATAACTTGGGGACCCCGGTCTGACACAATTTCCTTCAGGATGCCATAGTTTCTGAAGACATGAAGGAATAACATTTCAGCAGTTGCAAAGTTCAGTTTCAGTAGGCAAACCCTTGAGGGGAATTAATCTGCAGGCTTTGAAAAAACTACTACAACCTGGATACATGTGTTACCTTTAGAATTGTGTAGATCGGTTACAAAGTCCAATGCAATATGGGACCAGGATCTCTGTGGGACTAAAAGCAGCAGTAGTTTCCCTGAGGGCAGATGACGAGGGTTGTAAAACATGGCACATACTCGGACGTACCTGTTGACATCCTCGATCATACTGGGCCATACTGGATCATACTGAGCTTGGAGGTGCGAGAGGATCCTCCTGCTGCCTGGGTGTCCAGACCCCGGTTGTTGGTGTGTCATGCCTAGAAGGTTCTTCTGCAGGGAGATGGTAAGTAAGTTTTACCTTCTGGGCAACCCGATGGAGCAAGCTCATTGAGGGCTCATCTAATGTCTATTGTATGGGACTGACGATGAGGGCTGGAGGGATGATGTTTTCTAGTTCGGAGGGGCTGTCTGGAGTGTGCAGACAAGAGAGGGCATCAGCCTTGCCATTCTTAGTACCAGGTTAATATGTGATGAAGTAGTGAATTCGATTGAAGAACAAGGCCCATCTGGCCTGACAGGGATTTAGCCTCTTAGCCTCTTGTAAACTGATGTTCAGCTCCCTCCAGCCAGTGCCACCACTCTTCTAAAGCAAACTTGATGGCAGGAAGCTCTCTGTTGCCGATGACATAATTCTGCTCCGCCGGGGAAAACTTCTTAGAAAAGAGCAAGGATGGAGGCGTGGAGGCTCACTGGACAGCTGAGATAGAACAGTCCCTACTCTTGTGGTGGGAGCATACCCCTTACCCTTGGCATTTCAAACAGGGTGTGAAGGGGAACGACTTCAAAATTTATCTGTATATATACCCACCACTACAGCACCTGCATACGTCATCATATGTCATCGCAATCTCTTGCTTCATATGAGATTGACAATCACAACTGTTGTAGTAATTCCAGTTGCATTATTTTTTGGTATTTATCTTCAGTATATCACTGAAGGCATATATCATGTTATTATAACGATATAATGTGGCAATAAGATCATAACTATACTGTGCTTTTTCACCCTGACCATATTCATCTATGTAAACACACAAAAACAACATTAACATTATACTAGACACTGTAAAAAGGTAATTCCCAGCCACTAGACTTTTCTGACAGGGTTTTCGAGTGTCATAGAGTGACTGAATGTTGTGGGACTATTATACAGGAGTTATTATTATGGATTAAAATTTTGTGGTTTTATTTTAGTGTTTCCTTTTTAAAACATGACGGTAAAACACCAGCGCCATTATGAATGTATTACAACATATGATTGTGTGTTGTAAAAATTTCAATAATGACAAAAATACTAATTTATGCATTTCTTAACTTCTGCGTGCAGCCATGTTGCCGTTGTAGCTTGTATATTCTGGGAAATTTTTGTACCCCCTTGGTTTCGAGGGTTCTCTACCCCTTCCCCTTAGCCTTATATTATCAAGCTAAAGAGAATTAGGACAATCCTACCCCTTCACATTAACGTGCAAAATGAGGAGTAGGGGTAAGGGGAAGGGCTAAGGGGTACAATTGGGGTTGGGCCTAAGTGTAGTGTTTTCAGTATATGACCCTTACAATAAGCTAACCATTTTAATATTTATATATATGTTGGCCTGTCACACCAATTGGCATTTGCTTTTAAGTCTTAAATGAAGTATGACCATGTAGGTTTAGAATCTTTACTATTTAGACATTTTTATGTAAAATGATCAATTGCACCAATTATCTTATTTTGAGTAAAAATAAATAAAAATATTTACAGAGTTTTTCCATACGTTTACAATGTAAATTTTATTAACACTGCAATGTTGGGAACATAATAAACCATACAGTAAACAAATTAAAAAGAAACATAATAAATAACACAACCAATCTTAAATATAAGGAATAGTTTTGTGTTAAGATGTTACTAATAAAACACTATATATATATATATATATATATATATATATATATATATATATATATATATATATATATATATATATATATAATTTTATTTATTTTTATTTTTTTACTTTCACAGCAAGATCCACAAATGTCATTTTAAGTTTTTGTCCACAAAAGCCTTTGATGTCTTTTTCAAAAGAACCTAGTACGCACCTAGTATGGCAGGGCTATGTGCATTATACTGAAATCTCAGCATGTCCAGTGTTCACCTTGCATCTTATGTACTGGAAGCAGAACTTCACTTGCATTGCAGGCATCTACTATATCTAAAGCACATCTCAAAAATGGGATGGCCACAGTTAAGAGTACTGCTCTGTAAAGATCTGGTGAAAATCCTTAATTTTGGCCAACACTACCTTCAGTTTATCTTTCAGAGGAAGAATAGTCATTCTGTAAAAGAAAAGTGAAGAAACAAATAGTACATTTCAACAACAGAGGAACTGAAAAAACTGTGAAGAAAGAATAAAAGAATGAAAAATGACAAATTCAGTTACACACAATTTCCCTATCAATAACTGTCTTTAAATTGTGTGCAAAGGGGAGAGTAACCTGAAATGGTAGGTGCCATCTCGCTGTCCAAAACCACTGCCCGGAACCAAACAAATGCCTGTTTCTTCCAGAAGCTTCATACAGTAGAACATGTCTGGAGATTGTCCGTTTTCCTTAAATTGTGGGAAATTATTTGGTTAGTGTTTCAGTTTACTACTGCCTGTATCACAATGAAAGCTAATACACTAATAGGCCATCAGAAACATGGTTTTATGCTAAACTCAGCAAAAATAAAAAAATAACGGCTAATTTAAATTAAAGAGCTGACACTAATATTATAATAGCACGAGTATAATACTCTGCTTGAGTAGGATGAATATATCACACTGATGTAGACAACTGATGTATGGGGTATACTGGGCCATGAACAAAATATTCTGGGCAATGTTGAAAAGTGTGGGTCATTTCCCACACAAACTTGGAGTAAATAGATAGCTCTGGTCTTGGCACTGCCATGTCAAGACATATCAAGACATATTAGACTGCACACAATTATTTTAGTCTTTTGTGTTTCAAGATTTTCTGAAAAAAACAGAAATGTGCGCACATCTAGAAAAACTTGAAGGCAGGTGCACGATCAAAAAACAAACATTAGTAGCAAAAGATTCAAAGTAAATCGGCACACTGCCACTTTAGCTCTCAAAGAATTTTTTTAATGTCAATATCACAACGTTTCGACCGACATGGTCTTTATCAGAGACAAGACAAGATTTTCTGGTCATTTACAAAAAGCCATCCCAAAAAAAATTTGCAGATCATTTCATACCATATTGCACACACACACGCTGGCCCTTTTATTATGTTTATCTGTTAACATTTTGTTATCAAAAGTATTTAAATAGCACATAACATTGGAGCAGATTACTGCATTTAGACATGTAAACATGGTCAAACCTAGAAGAAAACTGATTTGAGTGATCCCTAAACATGGCATTGGTTTTTTGTGTAAGGTAAATTTTCAAGCATCACAATCTTTTTTGCAAAGAAAGCTTAGTAAAAGAGAACATATCCAGTGAGTAGCTTTGTGGACAAAATGCAACAAAATATTTTAATACAGCACACTTTGTGTAATACATGGGTCTACAGCTGATCCAACAAATCAAGGTGTTGAAGACTATTCTTGAACACCTTAATTATTTGGATCAGGTGTGTCTGATTAGGAACAAAAAATGTGCAGAGCTGCGGCCCTCTATGAATTGCGTATGAGACCTAAAGTAAAAGTGACCACATATTTAAAGATGGCCATAAAAATATTTACATTTCTTGGATTTAACTGTGAAGAGATTAACTATTACCTTGGCCTTCAATATGGCTTTCGGTGGGAGGTGGATCCTTGGGAAAGTGTACATTGCACCCTGCACTGGGTTACATTTTATTCCAGGTACTTGATTTAAGATGTCTTGCGTCATGCTGGCTTTCTCTGCTAGAGCAGCCAAAGTGTCTGAGCGTTCCTAAAAAAAAAAAAGTTACAAATTTTAAATTACTAAACTCTTTATATACCTTACAAAATAAGAATTTTGAAACAACAAATAAATCTATGAATTGAGTAAGTTTATAGACAAATCTAAATAACTACGACTAGTAGACACAATAAAGATAAAACTTAGAAAATGACCTACAATTTCTTAAGTTTTAAATTTACTTCACTGCTTTGTCCTATTTAAAGTACTTAAAAGAGTATGGGAGACTTTTAAAATATGAGTCACATATTCTGAAGCCCAGTTTAAAATTATTATTATTATTTTTTTAAATTGGATAAAATCAGACAATCCTTACAGATATCTCACATATCTCTTATTGGTGTTAGTTTAATCATGTTCATAATTTTAACAATCTGACAAACTTTGTTTAACTGATAAGGACAGTGACAGCAATATATGAAGAGTTCAGATGCAAAAGCCTCTAAATCCATCAGACCTCTTTTCTTGCAAATAAACATTTCCTCTTAGGCTCCTCTGATTAGGTTTAGAAGATTAGTTTTAAATGTAATGATTAGGTTATTAGCGAGTAAATAAAATAGCTTTTTTTCACTTGTCACTTCAGACAATTATTTGTTTTTGAACAAGGTCGATTTTCTTTTGCTTTAAGACCAGTTAAATCCATTTCTGCTTTTTTTTATTTTTTGCAAAATCCTCTAAATCCACCTATTGGGACAAGACATTTTAATTAGTTGAAAATCACTAAAGATGCAATAGACCTTTTACGCACTTCCGCATTTTTCGAACGGAAATACGGCAATGTAGTGCATTAGAACTTCCTGTTATCATAGCGGCAGATACGAAAAATGGCAGAGTCGAAAAATCGCAGTTTCTGTTGTGTTCCAGGCTGTTTGTCTTCTAACCAAAAACAGCCCTACCTTTTATTTCATTCTTTTCCTGTGGATTCAGACCTGAAACCCAAATGGATACAGGCGATCTGAAGAGAGGAAGGGCATAGTTTTCATGTAAAAACAGGTAGCACCTATGTCTGCAGCCGGCACTTCGCTCCGGATGATTACAGTGGTGGCTGCGTCATTCGTCGCCTGAAGAGTGGTGTTGTTCCGAGCCTATTCCCTTGGAACAACTTTACAGCTCCTTTGAGAAAGGAGTCAGTATATGACAGAACCTACAAACGTCAGTCTAAACAGCTGTGCTATGAAGATAGCGACATGGTGGCTAAGGCAGTAAGGATGGATCACGACTACGTGACACACCCACCTGCATTGAGGTAAAGTTGGTTTTATATTCACACATTCGTTCATTTAGAAGTCTCTATATTATTTACCATGTTACTTTGAATATTCGATCGAAATTAGCATGCAAATATGACTTGAAAACATCATTAACACTGGTTATTTGACTGTGAACAATGTTGTACTTTCATAGTCATTGGTTGCTAACATGATTTCGCTATTTAGAGTTTGCAAATAATACTTTAAAGAAATTATATTGTTAAGGGGAAAGTCTGAATGTGCAAATATAAAACCAACTTTACCTCTATCCCACCTGCAGGTAAGATTGTCCATAGTGTATTTAGTTAACGCTAGTCAACTATGTGTACCGTTATGCATTTCTACCTGAACAAATTAATGTTAATAATATAAGCTGTTCACGAAACTCAACTAATAAAATAAAATATATTTTTCTTTAATAATGAAACAATTTATTGCTGTGACCTCTAGTAAATACACTAAGTTTTATCATACTAGCATGTGTGGAAGTATTTAAAACAAGTGTGTTACAACTGACCCTGTGTTAGGTTCTGCCCCGCTCTCCCCTATTTTAATTGCATTTATTTAATTACTTATTTAATTAACTTCGGAAGACAACTCAGGCTCGCCGAAAACACTCTGGCTGCCATTTCTCTGCCAAAAAAACTCATACCGGAACTGGGTTTACTCGTTGTTGACGTACTTCCAGTTTTTGCATAAAAGGTCTATTAGAGATTATTTTTTTTTACCAAACATAAAACATACACAAACCACCTGAAATAAAAAATACATCTGTCAAGTAAGTGATGGTACATTTCACTCTGGTAACAACCCCTGATAAACCAGGGACTAAGCATAAGGAAAATGAATAAATGAAATCTGTCAAGTTCATTATTCAATAACATTGAAATTGACATTAATTAAATCTTAACAAACTGCTGTCATTTCTGATATTTGGGATTTGGTTTTAATGGAAGTAGAGTAAATGTAAACAAGCTTGTTAGATTCAATTAATGTAGTGTAAAATCATCAATATATGTGCATTGTCCATTACAAAAAAAATCGATTGTAATTTTAAGTAATAAAGAATAATGTATAGTTTTATACATTATATTTATCTTTTAAAACATAGCTTGCATTAGCAAATAAAACACAAGTTAGGCCTATTGTGCAAAAAAAAAAAAAAAAAGGTTCTCTCAGAAGCTGTCATTTATTCATCCCCACTATACTCAAGGTCTTGGTCTCTTTTTCGTCTCTTGTTTATCCTCATAGCATCCATGTGGGTTAAAAGAACGGCATCTTAACTCTGTCTTTCGTGGAATGGAGTTGCTGTTTAATGTAGCTATAGGAAATCAGACTCAATCAAAGTAGTCCCTCTGTGCAAACAAATGTTATGAATGCTACACTTCTGACTACATTGTGTTCTCTTTTTCTTACAATGCAGAGAGTTTTGAGTTAAGGGATGTTTTTATTTGCCATTCACTGACAGTCGGACAGGCTCATGCAATTCATCAAACTTCATCTTTTAAAATTGAAATCGAATATGGAATAAAACAGCCTCATACAGCCGGCGTATCAGCGCGCTACTACTTTGAAAACATATGATTCGATTTGCACCTTCCGTTTAGTTCTTGGGATAGATCAGCTATTGTTGTCAAAGGCAAGTGGCATTTAGCGGCTTTTGCCAACAAACTGTTATTTCTAACACCAGAGCTGCCAGAGTCTATGCTGCCAGAGCTTTCAGAGTCTACGCCGCCTATGCCAGAGCTGCCAGGTTTACATCACTGCCGTCGCTGCCAGAATTGACGCCGCCGCCAGAGCTGGTCTAGTTGCTGTCAGAGCTCCACAAAAGGCCTGAGCTGCCGCCTGAGTCACACAAAGGTTCAGAGCTGCCACCTGAATCCAATGAAAGGCCCAAGAGCTGCCAGAGCCTTGTGACCCACCAGGTCCACATGATCCTTCAGAACTTCCCTAACCTAAGCCTCCTGAACCACGATGGCTAAATGAACTACCAGTGTCTCCTAAACCCAAGCTTCCTGACCCATTGTGGGTGTATGACCTGCTGATGTCTACTGAACGTAAGCCTCCAGACCCACCGCAGCTCCACACTCAAGGCCCTCCACAGCTCCATGCCCCAGGCCCTCCACAGCTCCATACTCTAGGCCCTCTACAGCTCCATGCTAGGCTCTCTACAGCTCCATGCTCCAGGCCCTCTGCAGCCCCATGATCCAGGGCCACTGCAGCTCCACGCTCCAGGCCCTCCACAGTTACACTCTCTAGACCTTCCGCAGCTCCATGCTTTAGGCCTTCTGCAGCTCCAGCTTCTCCTAGCTGGAGGATTGTCAAGGACTGATTACACACACTATTTAAGAAGCACATACACTCACTCCAGTCGCCGAGTCTAGTTTACTGTAAGTGACATTACAACACGTTTCCTTTGTCTTGTTTTTTTCCCGTGTTTTGATCCCTGCCTTGTTAATCTATTTATCCCTGTCTGACGCCTGCCTTCAGACCTATCGCCTGTTACTTTGACCACGTTTCTGGGTTGCCTTTATACATCTGTTTGCACCTGTGTTGACCATTGCTTGCCTGACATCTTGAATAAACTTACATGTGGATCCAAACTCTATTGTCGGTGTCACTCCCATGGTTACAGTCTATGAGAAACAAATACACAATGCAAAGATAAATGCATATATATATTTTTTTTGTCCAAAGTGACTGTAAAGGCATTACACAGAAGTGCTAATTATACAACGAAACTGTTACTGCACAGAGAATTAGGTGCTTGAGTAAGGGGGAGTGTTTTTGTTGTTTTTGTTATAGAGAAGTGTTTCTACAGGTGATTTGTCAAGTCCATTCACCTGTGTGAGGCCCACTCTGTTTGGGTTTGTCATGTGGTAAGGTGGTTAAGAGAAGAGAGGGTCCTGGTTTTGTTCACAGGAGTTCAGGTGATTACAGAAAGACGGCTTTTTAGTTGTTGTTTGAATGATGAGGTTTTGAAAAGTGACTTATAGCCTCTCTGCGATGGTACTACAAGGTAATGCTAACTTTTCGACCAGAGTCTCCTGGAGGCAATATAGACAGTATCGACAATATTGTCAGTGGCTGCTCTTTAAACAAGCATTAATGATTTGAACTTGATACTGGCCTCAACCGGTAACCGGATAAAGAAAGATAAAGAGAGGTGTTAAATAGGCTCTCTTGGGCTCATTGAAGACCAGACAAGCTGCAGAATTCTGGATCATTTGTAGTGGTTTAAAGGAGCAAGACGGAAGTCCAGCTAAGAGAGCATTGGGTAACGCTTTCTTTTACAACCCGCAAAGTACCGCGTAAGTACAGTGAAATTACAGTGTACTTTTCTGTACGTACTGTGTAAGTATAATGAACGTATGTGTAGGTATGAGGGAACAAACCGTAATGCTTGGGTAAAAAGGGGGTAACAACCAGATGTTCATCACGAAAATTACCGCGTAAGTACAGTGAAATAACGGTGTACTTTTCTGTACCTATAGCGTAAGTATAAATAACGTTTACGTAAGTATAAGGGAACAAACTGTAATGCTTGGGTAATAAGGGGGTAACAACCAGATATTCAGCATGAAAGGTACCGCGTAAGTACAGTGAAATAACGGTGCACTTTTCTTTAAATTGCAAAAGAACAAACCATAATGTTTGCGTAAAAGGGGAGTAACAATAAGATATCCATCACGCAAAGAAGTATATTAAGTTTACGATGTACATTTCTTCAAGTATTGTATA